CGGGGTCGATGCGGAAAAGTCAGTTATATCCTGAAGAACGGTTCAGAACGCGCCCCACTCGAGCGCAGGATGACACACGATATGGGTTTCTTCGCTGAGACGCACGTAGACCACGCTGGACGTATCTCCTGCGGCTCCCTGACACCAGATCTGGGTGTCGACGACCAACTGCGCTCAATGTGAAATAAAATAAAAATAAGGCGCGAAAAAAAAGGGAGGAAGAAGGAGAGAAGACGATGTCAGCGGGGCATTTAGAGGGTGAGTTGCGAACCGATGGAATCAGGAATTGCATGCTCGGTCCCTTTTTTTTCGCGCCTTATTTTTATTTTATTTCGCGTTGAGTGCAGTTGGTCGTCGACGCCCAGATCTGGTGTCAGGGACCGCAGGAGATACGTCCAGCGTGGTCTACGTGCGTCTCAGCGAATAAAGCGCAACCCTGTGGTCGAGCGGGCCTTTGATTCATCGTGGGTCTGACACGCATACGCGTTATTGACGTGTTGTTTGGTTTTACCAATCAATCGAAATTTTGCGGAGGGCGGACGTCCTAGTATTTATTTATATTTGGCTGTTGTTTGGATTTAGCAATCAATCGAAATTTCCAGATAACAGGCAGATGACCGGCGGTACAATCAGGTACAGCCTTAGCCCTAATCTGTGTCCAGCCCGTGGGACGGGCGGGTGTGGTTGGATCCAACCACCTTGGTCAAGGAGGCTCCAACGGTTGGATTGAACTAACATTGGTTAAATGTTTCGCAGGTGGCACTGGGTTCAATCGCCTTGGTGAAAAATCTCAGTTGAATCGAACGATTTGAGAAAGAAAACTCCGAGATGCGGTTGAATCCAACCACCTGGGCGAAAAAAATCTCGCAGGCAGTTGGATTCAACTGGCTTAGCCAAATTTGTGCAGGTGCGGTTGGATCTAACAACTTGCTCAATTTTTGTGCAGGCGTGGTTGAATCCAACCGCGCCCATGAAATTTTTCATGGGCGCGGTTGGATTCAACCACCTGAGGAAAAAAACCTCACAGGCGTGGTCGGATCCAACGAGCTTGGTCAAATTTTGTGCGGGTGGAATCCAACCACCTGGGCGAAAGAAATCTCGCAGGCAGTTGGATTCAACCGGCTTGGCCAAATTTTGTGCAGGTGTGGTTGGATCCAACCAGCTCGCTCAATTTTTGTGCAAACGCGGTTGAATCCAACCGCCCCAGGGAAAAGTTTCACAGGCATGGTTGGATTTAACCACCTGGCGAAAAAGCCTCACAGGCGCGGTTGGATCCAACCAGCTCGCTCGATTTTTGTGCAGACGTGGTTGAATCCAAGCAACTCACCCATTTTTTGTGCAGTTGTGGTTGGATCCAACCGCCTGGGTAAAAAAGTTGGCAGGCGCGGTTGGATCCAACCAACTCGCCCATTTTTTGTGCAGGTGCGGTTAGATCCAACCAACCTGGTCAATTCTTGCAGCTTCGGTTGCATTCAACGACCCGGGCTACAGAAGAAGGTCGCAGGTGCAGTTAGATCCACTGCTTCAGTAAAAAGAGTTGCAAGGGCGGTTATATTCAACCACCTGGGCAAAAACCTCGCCGGCCAAATCACCACTCAGATGTGACTGATCGGCACTGAGGAACACAGAAGTGTGTTCGCTCGAGGGAATCTAAACCACTGGGGATGAATCTGAAGAAAGAGAATGTTTTCAAAGCTTCCTCCGTTGGGTTCCAAGTGGGGCGAAAATCTATGCTGCATTAGTAGCGGTCAAGGTAGACGCTTCGACCCCGCTTCAGCAAACACTTCAAAGGTGCTTCAAGGATTAATCAACGTGGGAAAAGCGTCGAAATCTTGAAGCGTCTTCGAAGCGTCGCAGCGCCTCCGGAGGCGCTTCACGCGCTTCAGATGCGCTTCAGAAAACGCTTCAGCTCTGATGAAGACCAGTGATGCTTTATCAGGCGCGCGAAGCATTTCTGAAGTGTTTCTGAAGCGCTTTTCAAAAGCAACGGTCAAAGGTCAGTTTCGCTTCGCCCACGCTTCTGATGAAAATTTAATTCTTGAAGCGCTTCGTGAAGCGCGTTCGAAGCGCCTCCCAAATGTCTACTTTTTGTCTACTTTGGTACAACACAATTTTCAACCAGCCCATAGTTATGCTACTTGCCCGTATGTGTTGCGATCAGACTCAACACCTGGTATATGAACACAAAAATATCGGGTGGAAGTCCGCATTTTTGGGGTGGAAATGAGAGAAATGGGTGGCCGTGATCGAAAGTCACACTGTGACCAAGCGCGTTTGATCTGATGGAGGAACATTGAAAAGCGCGTCGCTCGTCGCAAAAAAACATGTTTTCCTAAATCTGAAGAGGCAATTCTATTGATATTTTGACTCCACATTGTTTACGGCCGGACTTCCTTTAGTCAGTGCACAAGAGAAGGCGATAATGCAGACGAAATGGTTGTGACTGTAGAATCTGTGGAGGAACACCATAGTTCTTTCCGTGAACAAAGCACACCATGTTTAGGAAGATTCTGAAGAGACAGAGATGTTTCCACAATGCCTCCATATCCCTTTCCTTCCCAATTTGAAACAGACCTATCCCAGGCAAGGGATTTAGTGGAGGAAGGCCGAACCTTGACCCTACTGCTACTTGGATTAAAATATTCATTTCCCAAGGAATTTTACAATTTTGCATAGAAAGCCAATGAAAACTGAGGAAACCCTGTCTGTCTCTTTAGAATTCCCCGGAGGCTGCTGGACACCACGGAAAAGGTGTTTTCAGGTGCCATCAAAAACCACGAAATTCGTCTGTTTGGTCAACTAGCTCATTCGAGCAATGTGGGGGTTCAAATAAAGATATATTATGATAGTAAATACTGAATACTACTCTAGAAAGATACCAATCGAATTGTTGAAGCCTCCAATCCTCTGCTGCGGAGCCATATATGTACCCTCTTCCTCCCAAACATCAATTCAACTTCCCGCCCACTTGAACATCTTGACCTTGGTCATATGTGAGAATTCAAAGGGTTGTTATTCATCTGTTTCATGTTCAGACACATAAATTAAATTTCAACTGAAACCAACCAAAACAGAAGTTCATCGAGCTACTTAACTATAGAGCTCAAGTTCCAGTTTTGTGTCCACAACTGAATGTTGAATAAAGCATAGGATGTTCGAATTTTCATTCAGGACGGATGTGAAGGCATAATGGATGCATTTCTGTCTCCTCAGAGTTGTCCTAAGTATGGTAAGAGGGCAAACCTTCATGCTCCTCCATATTATTATGCAGGTAACACATTTCCCTTCAATTCCTCCTTCCTCTTGAACTTACTAGGCGGAGCGACCGAGGAACAGTTCGGAGTGAGTGTGTGAGGGCCTTTGCCTCTTTATATCCTTCAAAAACGCGTTTTTGTAGCGCAAATAACGCGTGTTTGGATGTTCCTCCATCGATCAAACGTGCTTGGTCGCGGTGTGACTTTGACCATATTCGCTGTCTCTCCTTCTCCGAATCGCCACTAAATAATGACAAGACCCTCGAGAGGTAAGCCGAACAATGTTTCCCTTCGAATTTCATCCCCATATACCAGAACCTTGTGCTTACCCTCCGCCAGACGATGTTCACTTTGTTAAGGATCATCTCAGTTTTGGATACCCCAAAGGTTGCACACATGCTTGGGCTGTATATAGACTAAAATCCGCCTTCACAGTAGAAGTGCAATTGAGGTACCTGACCTCCGTTTCTTTGTCATTTGTGGCCGTTTCCCTCTAGAAGGATTGGGATGCCGAAATTAGCCAGGGCGGTTGAATTCAACCGCACCGGCAGAAGAAATTAGTAGTGATGGTTGAATTCAACCACAGCTTTGAAAGAATTGGCTGAGGTAGTTGAATCTGACCACACCTGCGAGATTTCCCAGAGCAATGGTTGAATTCAACTGCTCTGGCAGAAAAATGGCACTACTGGTTGAATTCAACTGCCCCAGTAGAAAAATTGGCACTGATGGTTGAATCTGACCACACCTGTGGCGATGGGTGAATTCAACTGTTCCGGCAGAAATATTGGTACCGTGGTTGAATTCAACCGTAGCTGCTAAAAAATTGGTTGAAGCAGTTGGATCTGACCACACCTACGAGATTATCTGCAGTGATAGTTCGATCCGACTGTACCTGCCAAAAAAATTGGTAGGGGTCGGTGGATCTGACCTCTTTTAATTTAAATACCTGTTGAACGTACGATCTGACCACCTCAACACAGCCACTGCACCGCCCGCTGCACCACAATTTACCACATGGCTGTACCTGATTGTACAGCCGGGTACCTACGGTATAGGCCGAAATTTCACGGAGGGCGGACGTCCTAGTATTTATTTATATTTACGAGGTATTTGGTTTCGGCACTTTTCGGTAAGGTAATTGCGAGGGAGGGAGACCTTACTAAAGCAAGGTAATTCAGCTAGGTTGATTTTGCTGCTGAATTCAGCCGTTTCGGCAACGTTTTTGCGCAGATGAATTCTATCGTTTCGTACGTATTTTCAGCCTCATTTAATCTGTAGCCTAATCTAATGCTCTCAGGAACCAATTCAGCCCAGCTGAAACTTCTTCAACCATCGTGAATCAGCGCACCCTCCTCCCATGCCCACCGGCGACTCACCCTCCGCCGAAACACAACTGCTTCACGAAATTAAACTCATTCACCGTTCCTTTCGAGGGCTTTGTGGCTTCCGCGGTCGTTGTGGCTTCATCTTCGACTCCCTTTCTTTGAATTTGTTTATCCGAACACATCCCGCCGTGTCGTGCCGATGAGAGCCTATTTCCCTTCTCCTCCTTCTCCGTCTTCCTTGCCTCAGGCCTAGAACCAAGTTCCAACCAGCTAAACGAGTCTCTAGCACTTCCTTTCAGAACTTCCTTCACTGATGACCCACTGGCAGGCACAACGATGGGGTTAACGGAGGACGGACGGCATTGGTTTCCGTGATGGACGAGGTAAGTGAGTCATAAAACTACCACGACATGTAGACATCGACCCGATGGCACAGCTGGTTAGTGCGTCTGCCCATTTTCAACCCATGCCTCGCTTGTGCGCAGAAGACCCTCGTTCGAACCGGGGTCGGGTCATCTGCCTGGTTGGAAAACTTTTTTTTTTTCACAACCAACAAAATCTGCTCGGGAGACTTCGTACTGCGTACTTCTTGGCTCCATTCCATCCATACTACGCTTTCTTATGGACGCTGCACAAGTCAACTTCCATGCAAGCTACAGTGGAGGCACGAGCAAGCCCAGTACCGGCATCTCAATGTAAGCCTGGCCCGGCTTACGGTCCGATCACGCGTACCTACGTAGGCTAGTCATACCTTGTCTTTAGCCGTCTTGTCGTCGCTCGCGTCTCGCCTCTCGCCTTTGGAATCTATACTGTGGTCTTGTTGGACTTCTGGTGTGATTCCAGCTTAGTGTTTCCTGTCTGGCCGACAGGTTTCCACTTTTTTTCCACTTACCACCACAAAATTTCGACTTTTCTTCTTCTCGACATCTGGACTTCCCCACCGCACCACCGGATACTCGCCCGGCTTGTCCTCGCTCCCTGGACAACTCATGCCTTATCTGGCCTTCTGTGTTTGTTAACGCAGGTCCGGGTATTCACGCACATCGCGCCACGTCATCGCGCTGCACACCAATTGTGGCCACTTCCATGCACCCGCAGCTGCTTTCTCACACTACGCGGTCGCTTCTGATCCTGTCTACCATCCACCTGTTGCGACATCGTCCGCGTTAAGATCCATTTGCACCCGTTTGATGTCCATGCACCTCTCCGCCGACATCGCGTCACATTGTCACGCCGTCACATGCCCGTTTTGGTCGTGAGCTCGTTCATTCACCATCCTTGGTGCCCTCGCACACCGGTCTCCATGTACCACAGAATTATGTGACACCCACCATCGTCTTTGTTGCCATCCTTGCTCCCACCACTGTTTATTTGTGCAGAGATCACGGCACATATTTCCGTCACCGCGGCAATTTCCACTGTCGTTTCTCGGCATTCGAACAGGTGTCCCAGCAGCAGCAGGCCGATGTTGCTTTTCTGTGTCGGCTTCACCGTCAACTATTCGCTTTGCCGCACCGAGCTGCTGCATACCACTTTCGACTTTTTCAGCACTATTATAGCCCCATGCCTTTAATATCGCTTCTTCCTTTCTGGCCATTCCCTCGACTCTCCCTGGTTCGTGCCCAGTCACGACCCCATCGCCGCACCTGTTTCTCGTCCCGTTGCGAGTTCCTGTTTGTCCTGGACGCGCCGGACTGTTTGCGTTAATTTCGAAGATCGGGATTTCAATTGGTACTTCTTACTTATAATATTTGGACGTTACTCAGTGGTTTAGAGGTGGGGAGGGTGTAAGCCTGGCCCGGCTTACGGTCCGATCACGCGTACCTACGTAGGCTAGTCATACCTTGTCTTTAGCCGTCTTGTCGTCGCTCGCGTCTCGCCCCTCGCCTTTGGAATCTATACTGTGGTCTTGTTGGACTTCTGGTGTGATTCCAGCTTAGTGTTTCCTGTCTGGCCGACAGGTTTCCACTCAAGCCTGTTTCCGCTCTCAACTCACACGCGAGTTGTGAGCACTCAGGCGGGTGCGGTACACATCACCCTCAACCCCAAGTGTAATCATGACCCGATGGCACAGTTGGTTAGTGCGTCTGCTAATCCATGACATTTTGGACAAGTGGGCAAGTTCAGCAGGAGGCCCCCGTTCGATCCGGGGTCGGGTCATTCGCCTTGTAGAATGTGTTTATTTTCTTTTATTCAACCACAAAAATGTGCTCGGGAGACGTCGTACTTTTTACTGCTTGGCTCCATTCCATCCATACTGCACTTTCTTATGGACGCTACACGAGTCCAGGAAGTCAACTTCCATGCAAGCTATAGCGGAGGGACTCAGGCGGGTGAGGTACACATCACCCTCAGTCCCAACTGCAATCACGACCCGATGGCACAGCTGGTTAGTGCGTCTGCTAAACTTGCTGCATCTGAGTTTTGGGTCAGCAGGAGGCCACTGTTCGATCCGGGTCGGGTCATACATTTCCTCCCTGAGGTTTTTGTCTCAACTCCTTTTTCCTTCTCCTCCCTCCATCGAACCGCGTTGTTTTATTCATCCACTTCCAGTTGTTTATGCAAGAGACTGTGAAGCATAGATTAATGTTCCAGGTTGTTTTCAACACAAACAGTTGAATTGAAGGACATAAGCACATGTTAGTGCTTTGAGGATGAAAGGCATCAAGATCTGAAGCACGGTGGGTAGTGCGTCTGCTGACATTGGAGGTACAGAGTTATTAAGATAATAAGCAGAAGAAGGCCCTCGTTCGATTCGGGCCGGGTCATATCGCATGGCGCTTGTTTTTCTTTTCTTTCTCTTCCGATTTCTCCTTCTTGATCCTCGGCTCAACACATTTCTCTTCTGCAAATCCGTCACTCCGAAGAAGTAGAGTTAACTAGCTCTTACAATATCTATCTAGCGTGGTTCGAACATCTTCGAGGCAATATTAATCTCCCAAGTTGAATTCAAGGTTACATATCATCCGGTCACCTTCAATATGGGTTGGGGCAACGACCTGATACTAAGCACAGTTGGTCAGTGCACGTGCTCAAGGCAACTTCGATCCAGTGCGCTTGAGCAGGAGACCCCCGTTTGGTCCGAGGTTGGGTCTGCACAGTTATGAGGAGTCTTTTTTTCATTTTCTTACTCCTCTACTGGGAGAATCCTTGCGACTTTCTGTAAGAGTCCGAGAAAGCTGAAAGTACCAAACCTTGAGATGTGTACCCAAGCAGTGCTGCTTCGGGCATCTCGGGCTTGTTATGGTTAAAGTTTGCTGTGGGTATACCCTCCTTAAGACCCGATATTATTGTACACAGTGTGTCTGCTTATTGTCTGGCCCTTTGATCGTTGCGGCAGAGGACTCCCCGGGCCCCTGGGGTCATATCCTCAATACATGAATTGCTTTCCCCCTGCCGGTTTCACATCCCAGAATACGAACTGAAGCCAACAATTAATTTTCGACTGTTCGGGCATCTCGGTCTAAGGATTCCACTTGAATTTCAGCCTCTGTAATTTACGTCGGAGGGCGGGATAATACTTACTTCCATTCAAGGAGGCCCGTCAAACTCTCCAATGGCTCTGAATGCCTTGATCCGCTTCTTCCATTGCCGCCTACATAATTCATCTGACGAATGAGTATATATCCCAGTGATGACACATCGGTTTACTCTCGTCAACTTGGAGAGGATCCACTCGAGACTGTCAAATTCGGAGAAGGGTGCGTGGGGTGGGGGGAGCTTCATTTTGAGCTTCGTAACATATAGAGTGATGTGAGGGGAGGTTGTAAGGAACTCCCGAACGGCGCTGTCTTGGTGGCCGTGCAAGGTCAGCGACGAATGGAGAGCACGCTGACTCGGCCCGCGGAAGCTCAATGACGCTAGCGCGCAGGCCTTGAGGGAATTGGGATCAGCCACCTCAGACACGATAGCGTCGACGAGTTCCTGGGGAAGAGGGGCTACGGTCGAAGATCTTTTGGGCAAATTGAGGCTTGTAGGTTCTGTCTGGGTCCCTATGTCAGCAAACTCTCGGAAATGCCGATGCGGTATCTTGGTTGCACAATGGGCCCGCCATCCGGCGCACCAGCCAACTTGTAGTGCGAGGAATATAAGGTCTACCACGGTGTGATTGACCTGCTCGGCGAGGAACCGCCGTTGCTCCTGGTGCAACGATAGCTCGAAGTCCTCGAATACAGACAATGCCGGTGGCGGGATAGCGCGCGCGAAGGGAGGGTCAACGGAATAACCGAAGGTTCCGGGATCCCGGCGAACTGGAGGTGGCGCAGCTGGGCGAACGTGTCCCGCGCGGGCATACAAATTGGTGGATAAGGCATGGAACGACGGCTTGGGAACGGGAGACCCTGAGGTCGAAGGGGTTTGAACCTGGTCGAAACTGGTTGACTGCGGGTGGCCAACGCCTGGGGAAGACATTAAAGGCCTAGTGGTCAGTAAGTTAAGACGAGTTGCCGACGACGACAGTCGGTCCAAACGGTGCCGTAGTAAAGGCAAATATAGAGTCTTTGCGACGCCGAATGGAGAAGCTGAGCTCGGTGATTAACCAAATAAAACTCGAGCACCGCAGTTTCGTGGCGAAAAAGAAAAGGGTGTATTTGGCCAGGCTTGGCATCGTCGCTCTACCCCAACAAAGATGAACCGCATACTTGCCAACGATCACCGGCAGCGGTTCAGGACAGATGTGGAGGATTAGGATAACCTCCCCGGACGTCGGAAGAATTTCCTAATATCAAGATAAACTTGAAGATTTCAACATTTTGTTCAACCGTGACGTTCAACAAGTGAAGACAGAAGATTCAGTGGTTTGAAAAATTTTGGACATTCACAGCGCTGGGCCCTCAATTTAATGGGGGTTTAAGTTGTCTGCGCTATTCAAAGTATTGTAATATACTTAAAGCGGCCGAAAACCCGATCTGATACTTCGGATTTAAGGCTCGGCGAAATCTAATCCCTAATCTAATCTATCATATTCCAAATAAAGCTGGTGAAGTATCGTCGCGCCTTTGGCGAGCCATCAAGTGCAACATTTAAGATAAGGAATAAAAGGCCTTGAAACAAGGTCCTAAACTTCAGTTTTAAAACCCGTAGATATCGTTCTAGATACTTTACATTTCGGGTTACGTTTAAAGCACACTGAAACAGCAAAAAAATCTCATTTAAAAGTGCTTGAAACTGAATACGAAACTCCAAGTTTCGAGCGGCTTTAAACTCATCTGCAGATCGTCTGCAGACCATCGTCATTCATCGTCGGTAAGGGTAAAATATACAAGTAGAGTAGCAAGTTCGTACAAAGTGTCAGTGTGGTATTAGGAGAGGCACGCCGCCAGATGATCTGCAGACGATCTGCAGATGAGTTTAAAGCCGCTCGAAACTTGGAGTTTCGTATTCAGTTTCAAGCACTTTTAAATGAGATTTTTTTGCTGTTTCAGTGTGCTTTAAACGTAACCCGAAATGTAAAGTATCTAGAACGATATCTACGGGTTTTAAAACTGAAGTTTAGGACCTTGTTTCAAGGCCTTTTATTCCTTATCTTAAATGTTGCACTTGATGGCTCGCCAAAGGCGCGACGATACTTCAAGTTCAGTCCAGCTTTATTTGGAATATGATAGATTAGATTAGGGATTAGATTTCGCCGAGCCTTAAATCCGAAGTATCAGATCGGGTTTTCGGCCGCTTTAAGTATATTACAATACTTTGAATAGCGCAGACAACTTAAACCCCCATTAAATTGAGGGCCCAGCGCTGTGATTGCGGTGTCTATCACGAGCAAGGATAATGTTAATCAAGAAAGGCAAAAATGAGAGAGCCCGCCAACGCAGAGCGATTGGAGGTTCATATCGAACCTAGATCGTTCCACTATTAGACACTATTAGTATGACTCTCAGCAAGGTACCGCGACTCGCAGAAATGTCTACAAGCCAGCCGGTAAGTCAATCCAAGTCAATGAGAATCTGTACTCATTTTGTGAAGCCCTCCCAATCGGGCTCAAAATCCTCGAACACAAGTTTCCCTGCCCTAGGCATCGACCGCTTCTCCAGGCGGGCGAAATTGACCCCGAACTCCTTGCGACGGAGGGGAAAAGATACCACCCGCCACCGAATACACGAGAAACGACCTTTGGATACTAGGAGTGTCTCCAACATTTCCAATGACCGCCATGCGAGAACGGTCGGCGGGGCAGACTGGTGGATATAGCTGACAATCAACTCGCCCAGCGGAGCACCTTGCGCTTCCTCGTAGGCGGTCAGAATGTTACAGACGATGTCGATGAACCACGGTGTGTTATGGGAATAGACAGCCAACGCCACCTCGAGGGTGCGGAGACGGGGGAGAAACGGGAGGACTCGAGGTGTTTTCGGAAAGTTTAACTCTACTTGACGAATCAGTAAGGATAGTAAGAGTGAATAGTTGAACGGACCAGTACAGTCGAGACGAAGGTACTGGAGGGGCTCAGATTGCGATTAATGTGGTACTTTCAATGGGTTCGAGCATCGCAGATAGACGAGAGATATTTGAGGTGTGAGTGATGAGGCCCGGACTGCGAAGTTGCCGAGCGACACCTGCACATGCGGCATCCAGAAGCAAAGACCGGTTCGTGAAGAAGTGGAGTCGTCGCCAACCTGGCCATCCGCGCCACTGGATATCGGGATTGTAGAAGGACAGTGTAGTGGTGGATTTAATGAGATAGCGAAACACGAGTGGCGGGATATCTTTAAGAAGGTTGACGCGGAGGGACTGGAAGTCCCGGCGAGAGAGGAAATCAAGAATAGCGGCGGACAATGCAAGGTGTAGGCCACTCCATTTGGCGCTAAGAAATACGCCAGTGATGATCCATCGAGCAACTCTCGTCAGATTGCCAAGTACCCACTGCAAAGTTTCTAGCTCAATATTGTCGGTGGGCGCCCCAGGGAGTTTCAATTTGAGGTCATGTAGTTCGCGAGGTGGGGAGGAAAGGGCGCGCTTTGAAGTCGTGTGACCATGCAATGGTGGCTCGGCCCGCGGAGGCTCGAAGATGACAGGCTGCAAGCCTTGAGAGAATCCTTATCGTCCACCTCGCTCACGATGGCGTCAATGAGCTCTTGTCGAGGGCAACATGGCAAGGCGGGTCAGATTTATGTCTCTTGTGCGCTCCTTTCTGTTTGCCGGTGGCCGCCATCTCAAAGATCGCCTTGAGCTAGAAAATGAGCCACGCGCTGGGTCGAAAGGATGAGTGAGTGAAGGTAAGAAAGGAACAATTTTGATGCGGAACGTGACCGCGACGCGTAAATCGGCGGAGCCAAACAGCACCACACCAGTTTATGCGCCCAAAATACGTGTACAAGGATTGGAATATAACATCAGGAGTTGTATACTATTTTTCTCTCTGCGCTGTACGGGAGCTGGGGCTTCGCGTTGTTTTGAGACCGCCACCGAAAATTATACAATATCCGAGACAGTGTTTTTCTCCCATCCGAATGTATCGCCGGCATTC